TCCATTATTTGTGAATGATGATCCTCGTGGATCAAGAGTTAAAAAAAAATCATATTCATCATCATTGTATCCGTTGAGAATGAATGATGAAAAATTGAAATAAACTGATGAGCAAATGAAATATGAATTTGTTTGAATTCGCTGAGGATTTGATAGAAAAATTCTCTTCTTGTTTTTTTCATCATCATCGTTTACATCGGCAATTGTTGAATAAAATTCCTGTAAATTTTTATTTTGTTTTCATCATTTTGCAAAATAATTTTTTGCTCATTATCCGTCAACGTAAAGCTACTTTTTTGAAAAACAAGTACAGACTAAGTGCATCAAGGGGATGATGGTGAAAAGTTGTCATTTTGAATTTTTGATCATTTTTGTTTTCTTTATCATCATACATCAAACATTTTTTAGTATATGATATATATGGATGGTATGAAAATTTTCGTTATTGTTAAAAATATACATAAATAGGTAGAGTAAATATTATTACCCGGAAAAAAAACAGAACAAAAAAACGTTTCTAGGTATCGATAAATGTAAAAATGTGTGCAAAGATTTGATTTGAAATCGAAAATTCATCGATAACAACAACGATTGATGACAATTCACTTTACTGTATATAACATCATACAGATGATGATATTCCCTTGTTACTGTTTTTGTTATCAGTTGTTTTTATTTTATGTTTGTTCAGAAAGAATCAATTTCCTTTCGTAATCAGATTTTTAGCATTACCAATTGATCATGATTTGATCTTTGTCGTTACATTTTCTCACACACACACACACACAATGGTTCATTGATTGATTTTATTTTTTTAGATTTTTTCACTTTTGTCGTTTCCTATATGATTAACAAAACTTGATTATTATGGTTCAATCGGTAAAAATATAATTCCAACGGTTACCGTTCCATATCATTCAATATCGATATGATAGATTTATCAATGAAGAATCCAAAAAAATTTCCAAAATTTTTCCGTCTCTTCTCGCATCGTATCAACATCGATAATACACATAGAATAGAAAAAAAATTCTGTCTGAATTGCCTTGGTGACAATTGTGAAAAAAATGGAGCAAAAAAAAAATCAATTTTCCAAAGACTAAGACAACTGAGAGTTTACTCGTTTCGAACAACCAAGAATTGAACGAAAAAAAAAAATAATAATTTGCACAACAAAATTCTCAACATTGATTCACATTTATTTCAAAAGATTTTTTTTTTTTGTGTGTGATCGACAACAACAAATTGCTACCAACAACTAAAACCCTAATCGAATGAAATGAACACATACACATACACACACACAATAAAAAACTAATAATTGATTACAATTGACATAAAAATCATTGTAATCATCGTGATAATGATGATGACAAATTGAATTAGGTTTTTTTTTATTCTTTTCCATCTAATATCACTGTCATCAACAATCAATGTATTTTTGGACAATTTTTGTTGTTGTTGTTGTTGTTGTTGATATACTTAACACCTCATACGTCTTTGTCTATAAACATTTGACATTTTGAAATAAACAAATATTTCATTCTGTCAATATTATTGATTTGTTTGTTCCAAATCAATGATAGAAATAGTAAATTGAGAAGAAAAAAAATAATCCCGAAAAAAAACATACGTTGGTTGGTTGACATACATAAACGATTCACATCAAACACACAATCAAACATTGCTTAAATTGAAAAAAAGCTTAGCTTACAGTGAATGAAGAAAAAAAAATTGAAAGTCAAATTGTTTATTCCTACATTCACATCCATATAATCAATAAATGGGCCAACTGGTCAAACATGGAACATTTACAATTAATTGGAAACAAAATGTTGATTCAATCGACAACAACAAAAAGCAGTAGCAGCAACTATGAAATTCAATTGAAACAAAATGAGAAATGAAAATAAAATGTTCCAAAGGACATTAAATGAAAAAAAATTGACAAAAAAAAAGAGAAGAAAATTCCAGTATCAAATGCTATGCACGCACATTGACAGTGAATCGATTTTGTTGGTTTGATTCAAGAATTATTGTGGTTATAGATATAAGAGAAAAAGAAAACCAAAAAAATAATAATCATTGATCAGACGGTTGGATAATTAACATCGTTCACACCAAACGCACACACACACATATGTTATTGGTTTTTTTCGTCAAAAAAGAACCACATTTCATTTCTCGATTTTTTTTCAAACAAAAAAATTTTATTTAGAAAAAATCCAGAGGAATTTTTCTGTTTTTTCAATTTACAAAATAAACAACAAAAACGACGACAGCGAGAATTTCTGGTTTCGGTTGGTTCGTTGAACAGATTTTTTTTTTTTTTTTTGGTTGATTCAATTCAAAATAATAATTATCGATTTTTTTTTCTCCACAAAAAAATAAATAAAACATATGACCAGTGGATCAATGGAAATATCAAAGTTAAACAACATTCAATTTGATCATAACTATTTTTAAAACAACAACTATGGCAAAATAAAAATAAAAAGAAATAATATCTTTCGGAAATGTAGAAAAAAAACTTAAAACAACAACAACAACAAAACCAATGTACAATTCATGTATGACTGAAAGAAATGGTCAGAAAAAAATGACAACAACAACAACAACAATCACAGCACCAACGACAAAATTTATGTGATGCAAATAAATTATGATGATGATGATGATGGTGATGACAATTGTGTATATCTTTTTTCAGAATACGAAAAAAAAAATTGAAATGGAAATCACTACTTTTTTTCTATCATTGATGATGATTAGGATATTTGATACAATATTTCGATACATTAATTTGTTCATGGAAAACATGTTATATCCATACATACAAACACACGCACATAAATTTTTGATGGATTTTGAATGTTTTTTTTTTTTTTTTTTTTTGGAAAAAATATATTGAACACATAAAAAATCACAAACAAACAAAACACACACACACACAACGGTTTGGTTTTTACCATTTATTCTCCCTAGTGACAGCAGCATGAACAGCAAACAAAAAAAAACCATTTTTTTTATTTTGTTTTGACCAAAATCCAAATTTCGAATAAGAGAGAAAGAGAGAGAGAGAGAAGAAAAAAGTCGATTCCATTTACTGATATTCATTTGATTTTTTTTTTCGTTTTCTTTCTCGAGTAAAAATAGAGAAAAAAATTCCATGGTTGTGTATGTACAATTCGTATTGGCCAATAATAAACTAATAAAAATTCTTCATTTAAACTAATAGAAACCATTAGCCAGTTGATAAACAAAACAAAAAAATTGTGTGTGAAAAAAAAAACAAATCAGCATAGTTAACCCATCCCATCATCACCAGATGTAAAATCATTATTAAATTGTTACGCTATTACCCATCATCATCATTATGATGATTATGATCATCATCATCATCAAGAACAAAACGAAAAATAAAATCAAACAAAAGATGATAATAGTTTGGATCGTTACCGTTGTGGAATTTTCATTTTTTTTTATTCTTATTCTTAGAATTTATGTAAAATTGATTTATTTGAATTTTGAAAACAAACAAACAAAACAAAAAAAAAATGTTCATTTGTAACACAAACACACACACACACACACACACAGAGAAAATTTAGTCATACAAAATATATATAGACAACCAAGACAATAGAATAAGCATCGAAAAAAAAAGATTCATCAACCCACCGACCACATTAAAATGTTGGAAAAAGATAAAATTTTTTTTTTTAGAGAACAGTAAAGAATTCATTTTCTCTTTTTTTATTATTACACACAAGTATCCATGTATGGTTCATGAATCTACACTACATCTTTGTCACAATCAACAATGTCATTAAAATATTTAACCCGTTTTTTTTTGTATGTTTCTTTTTTTTGTCTAATAATAATCATCATCATCATTATCATTATAATTTGTAGCTCACATCAAGTGACACACACACACACATACAGTCATTATGCATGTAAAGAGTGAATTCCATTTGAATTCTTTTTTCTTCCGCTCATGATGAGATGTGTACAAGAATTCAACAAAAAAAAGCAAGAAAAATAAAGTCAATCAACAAAATGAGAATAAAATGAAAAGAAACACACACACACAGAGAGAGAAAAATGCATTTCGAATCCATTATGATGATAATTTTCAATGATGATGATTTTTAGAAAAGAGAAATTTTTCCCATTCGATTTTCAAAATTTTATTCAGGTTAAAGATGAACAAGAAGAAGAATCTATTTTTTCTTTACTGCACTTTATTATCATTATATTCATATTCACAATTAAAATGTTGATATTATTAATATTTTTCTACTGAAAAATGAACATAGAGGTCAAAGAAAAATGACATTCGACAATTATTTCAATGTGTGTCGATTCATACCAAAAAAAAAAAAAACAAAAATCATGATGATAAGAATCAATATATGTGATTTTACTGTTTATATTTTTGGTTCACTTCATTTCATTCGTTTTTTAACGGTTTTTACTATAAGTATGTATTGGTATGGGCGTGTGTGGTGCAAATACATTTCCCTATGGATCAATTCTCATTCAATTCCATTCCACGTTTTCATAAATGACAAAGAACGAGACAACAGAAAAATGAATAAACAAAAAAAAGATGGGAAAAAACGGCCAAATTTAAGCAAAAAAACAGCATTCGCTTGGGACATCTTTATCTTTTTTTAGCTTCAAAAAAAAGATCATCATCAACAAAATTGTATGATGGTGATGATGATAGAAAAAAATATATCCACATTCGAAGATAATGAAATGATGATGAAAGATGTAAGACAAAATGAAAATGTATTTCAAAATCGAAACAATGGTATCTATAGGAAATACCACCGAGAAGATTCATAATCACATAGTCAATCAAAGCAAAGTAAGTGAGCAAAAAAAAAAACAAAATTAAGATAATTCAGCCATTATTGAAGTGTATATACACACACACGCACTCAAACACTCATTAAATAAAGAAAAATTAAAAATAAAACAAAACTTACCTTAATTCGGTAACATTAACACCATTTAATATCCAGGTGATGAGAGAAAATGGTCGTGCACCATATGAACGGCATACAACTTCTGTTTTCAATTCATCCGATAGATAGGAACCAATTGGTGGCTGTATATTAACATGTGTTGGATTTACTAATGAAAAAAAAAGATAATGATGTGATGTTGCAAAAATAAAGAAAAAGAAAAGAAAATTTACAATTTATAAGCAAATCAAGAACAAAAAAAAAATATAAGGCAAAACAAAATTGCCAATTCACATAAATTCGTGTGTGGTCGATACACATGCACAGTGGATATGATCATATTTTTCTTTTCTTAATTCCATAATTCTCTCTTCTAAAATCATCGAATTCTCAAATACGAAAAAAAAACTTTTTCTCATACGATTTAAACGAGTAAAAAAAACCACTTGACCAACGATTCACCAACAACAATGGCAACGACGACGACGACGACGACAACAACATTGTAGAACAAAATAGCTGGTTTCAAAGAATTTAGTCTCTTTCTCTTGAGTAAAGATTCTTTATTTGTGAACTTTATTCGCGTGCATAAAAACTATTTTTTACTTGAATGTGTGTGCTAAGTGTCTAGCCAAGAGAATATAAAACATTTTCCATTGGATATATGTACAAACAAACAGAATTCCCGTTTTTTTTTTGTTCTTCTCTTTATTTTCCATCCATTTATTTCCTAAAAAACGAATAAGAATTGATTTTGAACGATAAACAAACGTAAACAATTCAAAAAAAAAAAAATAACTATCAAAGAATATGTGTTAGAATTTTTTTTTGTTCCCATTTTTTTCTGAGAGAAGGGCAAATAAAAAATAATAATAATAATAATAATAAGAAACAAATCGAAAGAATAAAGAAAAAAAGTTATGTATGTAGAAATGCAAATGAGCCCACTAGAGAAGAGAAAAAGTCTAACGGAAATAAAGAAAAAGAGAGAGAGAGAAAGGAAGAATTTCTCAAAAACATAGAATATATCCTGTATATTGAATGTGAACAAAGAATTCTTTGGAACATATTTTTGTTCCAGTCAAACAACAAAAACAAATTTCGAAAGAAAATGAAAAGCAAAATGTTCATCAAAAAAAAAGAGAGAAAGAGAGCGAGAGAAGGGGAGAAACTCAATTTCAACATTTCGATTTTGGATTCTTTAATTTTTTTACTTGTTTTTGCCCATTTAAAAATGACTTTACTTTTTTCAATGAATTCAATTCATGTTTCATTTGTGAATTTGTTTGTAATCTTTTTGTTTCTCATTTTCTTTTTCTCTTTCGATGAAATACAGCAAATTTTTTTTTAAATGACAAAACAATGTGTCTGTGTTAGGGTTGCCATACGTTTTAGTGCGGACATGTTCTGAAATTTCTGTAATCATCTTGTAACGATTAGATTGTTCATGGTGATCCTATGGTTGAGAAACATTGATCAATGGATTGTCCGGACTTTTGTTTGGAAAAAATATGGTAGCCTTAGTCAGTGTTTGTTTTGAAAAAGAATACGGTAAAGTAGAAGAGGTTGTAAAGCAGTTATTTGCAACATATTCATACTCGATCAAACAAACAAACAAAAAATTTTAATTTATTCAACAATATTTAATTGTGTAATCGTTATTCATCCATTCATACTAAATGTAACACTTCAATGGAATAAAAAAAAATTCGGACCTCTAAAAACTGGAAATTCAAGTGTTCCAATCGTGTTAAAGTGAGAAAATTCAACGAAAAAAAATCGTCCAAATTATTTCTCGATGCCTCTTTAAAACAGATTGCTAGTTATTGAAGGCAACGAATCAAAAAAAAAAAAAAAAAATGCAAACACAAAATGAATAGTGGAAAAGTCAATGATTTTGCTATAAACAAACACAAAACGTCACAAAATCATTAAATTCGATAACAATCAACAAAACCGAATGGACCAGTTTCAAAATGAACCAAATTGAAATTGGATCGTCCATTGAATTAAAAAAAAATGATAATGCTATGATTGGTCATATGAATGTAAATAGTAATCGAGTGGAACATATCCTAGGTCCTTTAGATGGGGTTCATTCATTCATTTTGTTTATTAATTTATTATTACACACACATATAACAATTATTTTCCATTTTTTTTTCTCAATTTCTATGTCTGACTTTAGCTCATATATCATATGATATTCTGTGAAACGATACTTGACCAGTAGCCAAAAAAAAAAAAAAATAAAAATAAAATAAAATAAAAAGTCTTGAATGTAAAAATGGAAAAAAATCAACTGAAAAATTAAAGACCTTAGCGACAAAAACAACAAGACTGTCGTCTATAAGAGAATTGGTGTGCGAAAAAAGGTTCCAAATGGAACCCTAAACCAGATGAAAATGGCCTTGGAGAGAGTGAGACAAGAACCAAGATTAAAACAAGAAACTATTACGATTCTCAACGGGTTTTTTTGTCGCTATTTTTTTCACCGGAAATCATAATTTTTGTCCATTGAAAAGCAAAAGAAAAAGTAAAGACAACAACAAAAAAATTGTCTCAAAATTGTTTATCCACAACCACTCATACCCCGACACATATACGATGAAAAAAAACCCTAAACAAGCAATAAACAAACAAGAAAGAAAGTAAAAAAGGGAATGAAATCAACAAAAAGCAAAAAAACTTAAATTTTTTTTTTTTTTTGATTAATTGACTGGAAAAAGAAATAAAACTCATTTCATTTCATTTCTCACAATTATTACTAGTATTTCATCATCATATTATTATTAATGTTATTTATGTTGCTGAAAAATGAAAATGAAACAACAAGAAAAAAACGATAGTTCGTGGATCCAACAGCAAAATAAAATAGGAAAATAAAAATATAGACCATATTCGTTGGAATGATTGTCAACATGTGTGTATGCAATGTTTTTTGTTGAACCGAAACACAATACAGCATCATTTTTTTTTTTTGGTCACCACATCAAAACATATAACAATGTTCCAAACAAATGAAATAAAAATTGTTTCAAACAACAACAACAACAACAACAACAACATTGGCCCTTGGTCCATTTGTCACCGTATTTTATTATTTCATTTTTTTATTGTCGTTTTTGGAAATAAAAACAACAACAAAAACAATGAGAAAAAAAAACATTATGATGATTTTTTTTTTTTTTTCTAAATAGGGGATGGGTGTGTGTGTGTGTGTGAATACTGTTAATAACAACCGTCTAATAATAACCAATAAAATTTTTACCACAATTATTTAATGATAATTTCATGCAAAAAAAAACAATGATTCTGCAGCATGTTTTTAAATGCAAATTTTTAGATCTGTATTAGCGAAATGTTGAAATAGTGAAAAGCACATTTACCGAATTCATTGGCAAAGAAAAAAAAAGTATTTGAAAAAATAAACACACACATCAACAACATACAAAGAATTAATTTGAATCGTGAAAATAATTTTTATTGTTTGAAATTTTTTTTTCGAAAATAAAACAACACCAGTCACTAATATTTTCACTACAAAAAAAAAACGTGGGACATTTAAACAAAAAAACCCATTATTATATAGATATTGAAATCAATTTATATTCGATAATTGAGTACATTTAAACTAACTGCACACACCTACCACAGGATTCTACACATACTAACACACCCAACTTACAATATCAATATCCGAATTCGTTCGAATTGATTGTTGTTTTCGCTAATTTTTTTTCCTTCTTTTTCATTTCTAGTCGTCAATATTACAATTCTACGTGACCAACATTGATACACAAGCTATATGATGTAATATTGAAATGTACATCAGAATCGTTATATTAAGTTGTGAGAAAACTTTTAAAAATATAAATAACAGTAAAATTCTTCTTTATTATTTTTTTACTTCCGGAATTTTTTTTTTTTGATAATGATCAAAATAAAGCAATAATAACTATCACAATGAATTATTTATTGATCATATGATTGGGTCTGACTACTGTTTTTTCCTGTAAGGTGTTTTCATTGAAATCAAGTTTGAATGAAAATTTTCAATTTTATTTTCATTATTGTCGTTTTGATGATATTGAAAATTATTGGATCGTTATTTATAAATGGGTGGTGCTAAAGTCAAAAAAAAAAAAAATAAAATAAAAGATTAACTTTAACGTATTTGTGTGTGCATTTGTACGAGAAAAAAAAATTTCCGTTTTGAAAACATCATTTTTTCCTTAAGAACAAAAAAAACCGGATACAATCCGAAAAGAATTTTTGAGAAACAGAATGAGAGGAAGAAAGTCATTGAATAAACACAGGGCAGAAAAAATGGAATTTGTAAAAAAACATTGAGAAAAAGAAAACGAATAAAAAAAATTGATTCAAATCTCCATCAACGTCAACGAAACAAACAACAACCCAAATTAAGATGAGAAAAAAAATGGAGCAAAAAATGATTTAGCAAAAAAAAAACTAGAAAATTTTTATCCTTTACTATAGCCAGTTTTCTTGTGATTTTTGTTTCTGTCCAGAAAAAACTAGTGAAAGCAAAAATAAACACACACACACACACACACACAACAATAAAGTAATTGTCGATTCGGAAAAAAAACAAACCAAGAATCTCAGACAAATAGGAGAGAAAGTCAAAAAGTGAAAAATAGAATGAAAATAACTAAAAAGACATCATCAACAACAACAGCAATGATCTACTTACAGTTAAGTATCAATTCGACCATATACCATATGGGCAACATCAGCCTAGATGAATTTATAAGGCAACCATATTTGATACCATTATCATTACGTTTCAATGGTGATGGCAGTAACATTGAATTAATCACCATCATTGATGATGTCGTCGTCGTCGTCGTCGTCGTCTTTGCCATTGTTTCATTGGAATTTTTTCTTTGAATTTCATCATTTGAAACTTTTTTGTCCATTCGTTTTCGTTCCATTTGTTCACCATCATCACCAACATTTGGTTGTTGTTGTTGTTGGTGATGATGATGATTGTTGTTTGATGAAAACATTTTCATTGACAAAATGGATTGTTGTTGTTTGGGCTGAAATTCTTTGCTTGTTGAGACATGATAATTGACTTTTTTACTGTCCATTAGAATGTCATCATTGTTTGTAGTTGCTGTTTTGATTGTAATTTTTTCACTATCAGTTAATTTGTTGTTGTTGTCATCATTTTTATTTGAAATTGGAACTAAATGATCATCACTATGAAGATTTTCATTTAAAGAATTTTGTTTTTTATAATTCGAAGAATTTTTTAGATTTATTTTCTTCTTATTAGAATCATCATTGCTGGTCATGTTGTTGTTGTTGTTGTTGTTGTTAGTAGTCCATAGATGATGTCTATGATGATATAATTTTTTCCAACAATTTCTAAATTGTTTTTTCGTTTCTGATTGCTGTCGTTGTTGTTGTTGTTGTTGATGATTATGACCATCATCATTATTAGTGGTCAGTGATTGAAATTTCAAATTCATCACAACATTAGATTGTCGATCTATTTGTTTAAATAATGATGATGAAGATTGTTGTTGTATTCGTCGACCACCATTATCATTATCACCATTATTGTAATTATCATCAAAATAGTAATCAAGATTATGGTGATGATAATAATGTCCATTATAATCATTATCATCACCATCAATGGACACTATTTTATCGACATTCATTTGTTTGAATGTGGAATCAATAATTTGCCATTCAACAATATTATTATCATCATCATCTTTGGTGTTAATTTTGACATTGGTTGTTACGGTAGAAACAATGACAACATTTGAATGTTTTTGATTATGATTCGATTGATATAAATCACCATCATCATCATCATCATCATCATTATGATGATCATTTAGATACATTTTATCGATAATTTTCAATGCTGATGATGAATTTCTATTCAATTTTGAATCAATTTTTGATTTGTACTTTTTCGGATCAAAACGCAGCCACAATATATTCGGTGACGGAATTCCTAGTGAAAACAAAAAAAAAATTCAATCAATATAGTTGATTTCATCATAAAAATCAATGATATTTCTTATCATTTTTTGTTATTAAGATGGTGAGAAACCTTTCAAAAAAAATCTTGATTTTCTTTATCATGGATTTTTATATATTACAAATTATACATTCGAAATTTTTATGATGTTTTGGTGTGAACAAAACACATACAAACAATGGACGTAAAGAAATTCAATCAGTTTTTTTTTTTTTTGGTTTTGTTGTTTATGGCTTCCTGATTTTGTCCATAGAACTTGGCGGGCTTTACATCATTCGTTTTTTTTTCTCTTAGGTTTATTTTTTCAATTTATAGATTGATTTTATATATTTGAAATCTGTGAATTCAGAATTTTGTTTTTTTTGTTTTGTTAAATTCTTTTTTTTATTAGATTACAAATGGACACAGAATTCCAAGAACTATTGCTGAATCAACAAGATTCCAACAACAATAACAACAACAACAACAACAAAGGAAGAAAATGATAAAGTTTTTTTTTCATTTTTCTTATTATTTTCTTCACTGAAACTCAATTTAATTTGTGTTTCATTGTATATACGCTGTTTCATATTAAGATCAACTCATAACTTTGGCAATATAAACAAACAAAAAAAAAATTGTTGACTCGTGTAAACATACACCTTCTATGAACAACAACAAAAAAAAAATTCAAATTTCTTATCAAACGTATGCAATGAAGATTATGATAAAGAACGAAAAAAAAAAACAGAACCAATTCATATTTCGTGTTTGTTATCATTATTTTCATCATCAAATTGGCATTTTTGTCGATAATAATCACATTGAAACTGATAGAAAGAGATAGAATATTTATCGTTTATTCATTTTTTTTTTTCATTCACCTAGAATAAAAATCATCATCCGATAAAAAAAAAACAATGATACAACGTATGTTGTCATAGCATTGTATTTTTTTTCGTTCTAGTCAACTCAATAACAATAAAATATGACAATTTTGTTCATGAAAACAAAAACAAAAACAAAGAAAAAAATGTCACCAATGTTGTACATTGATCTTCGATAACTCATATCACAAGATTATCATCATCATTATTATTATTATTAATGATGATGACAATAGTGTTACAGGATTCTCTTGTTTTATTTTTCTTTCAAATATCGAATCAAGTGTGTGTGTGTGTGTGTGTATTTCCTGCTCCTGTTTTTTCCGGTTTTCATTCATTATTATCGTTTTTGTTGTTGCTGTTGTTGTCGATATTTTTGTGTTTATTTCGTGTTTTGAGTTTGATTATCAACATCATTGATAAAGTTTCAGTAAGATACTTGATCACGTTTCACATTCGATCATCATCATCATCATCATAATGATCAGAAAAGAAAGAATGGAAAAAAATGAACAGTTTCTGAAACAAATTCTATTTCTAATTTTCGAAATTTTTGCTTCTTTGTCATCATCATTATTATTATTATTATTTTTAAAATTTCGAATGATAAGCAAAGAAATTCATTTGTAATGAAAGAAATTTGAAAAAATGAAAAACAATGTTGAATTTTTTTTTTAAATTTTAATTGAAATTCATCATTGTTGATAAAAACAGACACAAAGTTTTCATACAAAAGACCAGACCAGAATTTTATTGGGACCAATGGATAAAACTTTTTTACTATTAAAAATTAAATCCATTCAATCATGTGTATATTTGTGTGTGTATGTAATGCAATCACATTATTATGACTAAGAAATGAAAACTTTCTGATTTCATTGTGTAAATAATTATTATTTTTTTTTTGCAGGAATCAGAACAGACACCTATTAGTCAAATGATATGGCCAGCACTTTAACTATCAAATCCAAAGACAATCTTGTTTTCGTTGAATCATCATCATAACAATCATTATGAAATTAAGAAAAAACTTTTCAACCAATACAAATCTGTTGTAAAGAAATCTATACAAAAACCAGTTACTACATAGTGATAACAAAACAAACAAAAATTCCGGAACAAAGTTTCAAGTTGGAATCAGTTAAAAAAAAAGACAGAAAAAACTGTTCCACATAGAATAACAGGAAACTGAGAGAATGAGAAAGCAAAACTAGATTCCAGTGCATTTATTATTATTATTATTATTATTATAAACACGAATTTGTTTTTGATGATGATAAATCTTAAGGTCTATTAGGTTGATTAAAATCAAAACCACATACAAGTCGTCTGGTTCTTTCTCTCTCTGTCTGTCTGTCTGTGTAACAAAATGTTTGAATGAAAATAATATGAAAAGATTGCGTAAGAAATCCAATTATATCAGAAATTTTTTTTTCTGATTTTGGTTTTTATTTCATCATCTCACACAACTTTATTTACTTTGTGATCTATTTATTCATTATATTCTGTATTTTGGAAAAGTTTCCACACACTTTCTGATGATGATAATGATGATGATGATGATGATTCGGTTGGTTTTGGTTTTTTTTTCCTATTGAAGAATTCAACTGATTTTATCGATTTCAATCGAGAGATAGAGAGATTGTGTGTGTGTGAGAAAAGTTTAAGTAAAAATTTTAAAACTTTAACAATCCACAAACTTTAACATATAGAATGAATGCAAATGAAATTTTTAATTTAGAAATTTAAGAAAAAAAATCAAATTGAAAAAAAACTGCTGACACACACACGAACAAAAAATAATTTACACTCATTGAAAGATAAATGAATCATTTACAATACAAATTCTCAATCATGATGATGATGATGATCCAACCGATGAAAAAATTTGATACAAAATTCCAAATTCAACTACGAATGAAGAGCAATAAAAAAACCGTTTCATCAAAATAATTCCATTGGTTTTAGCATGACTAGAGAGAGAAAAAAATTCAAAAGATTATTAGCATTTTTGCTTCATTTTTTGTGTAATTCGATATCCATCATCATCATCATTCATTCATTATTATCAGACAAAATATAAAAAAAAGTTGAAATATTGTAAACGGATTTTTTCCTCGTAAATAGAATCCAAAAAGAATATGGAAAAAAACTTTTACTTTAGTAAATGTGTTAAACATATTTATACGAGTTTAAATTTGAATTTTATTCTTTTTTTTGACTATTGATCATCATGAGATCAATGGATCATTTTGAGATATAAAGTTTTCTTTAAAAAATCATTTTATATCTCTTTCAATGTATTTTTCATAACTCGAATTCAAATTCTGATTGTCAAATCACAAGAATCGTAATAGAAATATTTGGTTGTGTCACAAATTGTCGAAAATAAAAATGTCGAATGCAAAATGGTCGAAAATATTTGATCGAAAATAATAAAGTCGAAACGACAAAAACGTCGAACAGACAAAAATGTCGAAAATAAAAAAGTCGAAAATTGAAATGTCGAAATGGCTTGAGCCCTTATCCCTTAAAATTATCACTAACGAAAAAGACTCAAATATTATTTTTTCATTTTAATTCTGGATACACAGTGGCGACTTTTCCCTTATCTAATGCAGAGAACGTCAGTGTTAACTTTACTTTATTCAATGCAGATAACGTCAGTGTTGACTTTACTTATTATTGTCAAAGACAAGGAAATTTTCTGAGACAAAAGTGTAAAACATCGATGAACCGATTTATAGTATTTTAGCCCTTAGCACTCGGACAGAAAAATCCGAGTTCTATTTTAGAATTTACAATGTCCCCTCTACGGGGACATCCGAGTGCAAAGGGTTAGACTTTGATCTCTATTCTAGATTGTTTGTCAATACAATAGTTTTATCCAAACCTCACCTTCGGTGAGGTTTGTATTAATCTAATGAACCGAGACCACCTAACCTAACCTAACCTAAACTAGAAAAAAAATAAACATTTTTGGCCTTGTGAAGACCGTTCATAACATTGAATGCTCCTTTTATCACCCACTCTTCAATAATTACTTAAAGATAATTTTGATGCTGTAGTAAATCGATAAACAATCAAATAATAATCACAAACAAATTTGAATGAAAATATAAAGTGAATTGATAATAATATGAATCCAAATAGTTCGAATAAAAATAAAATTTTATCATCTTAATGTGTGATTATCCAGAATTGAAATGAAAAAATAATATTTGAGTCTTTTTCGTTAGTGATAATTTTAAGGGATAAGGGCTCAAGCCAT